CGATGGAGATGACTGGAAGGACTAGATGTGTGTGTATGTAGATGGAAAAAAGTTAGTGATGCATGTTTGTGCCCAGACTAACAAATGAAATTCCTGTACAAGTATACATACTTTATCTTTTTCGTCCAGATAAATCCAACCAGTCACTCCAGTCATCGCGTATAAATATTTGACGATGGAGATGACTGGAAGGACTAGATGTGTGTGTATGTAGATGGAAAAAAGTTAGTGATGCATGTTTGTGCCCAGAACTAACAAATGAAATTCCTGTACAAGTATACATACTTTATCTTTTTCGGGGTCGTGGGTCACAACCATATTAACTACGGGGTCGCAGGTTGCAACCGTATTAACTATATTTAGGGGGAGCGCCGCGGGTCGCAACGCATTATTTTTCTGCGGGGGGGCGACTCGCAGACTGTGCTTGGGCTTCATCCAGATAATCCAACCCCAATCACTCCAGTCACTCCACTCATATTAATCTTCATAAAATATCATCTCTGCTATGCATGTTGACTATTATTAGTAAATACAAAACTAAATCTGCATATCAGATAGAGTATATAGTGTTTAGAACAAATTAAAACCGAAAACTTACTATTGGCATACCAATATTTAGAATATCCTAGACCTCCTTTAATAGCAGGATCTTTTCTACCCGTCCCAACATTCTCATTAAGGTTGAGAAGTTTTTCTGTTAATGCCAAGTTGAGTTTGGTGTCTTGAGTTTCAACAGCCATCAAAGAGCCAAATATCTTCCTTGGTAGATTCTTACGGCGAGAGTCTGTCTGATAAATCGAATCGGCAAGCCACATGATAAAATTCACTCTAAGCCACCTAATCGATTAAGTCCTATTTACTGCGCATAGGCATGGGTAATTAATTCTAAATTTAGACGTTGCCCTGAAATCTGAGCACAAAATATAAATACGCAGAAAATTATCGACTGCGAAAAAGATATAAATACGGGGTCGAGTTAATTCTGATTGATATTTATTTTTGAAATCGAATTACTTTCATTTTTCTATAAGTGTCTAAGAGTTGATACGATACGGACTATTGATTAGATCGAAAGATATTGGTATACGCAATTACGCGTATAGCGGAAAGCATCAATCCATAGGCTCATACTCTTCTTATTGATAAACGTACAAGATAAATAATAGTAGAAAGCTAGCAAACTGGTTCTCTTCATTGACTCTTACAACTGTTTCGTCTCAGCTCCACGTGTTGTCATGAGATTCAGGAATTATACATTATCAATTGCGCCAGAACTTGGGAGACAAAGAGGTGCTCGAGTATCTCGCGACACAGCACGGAATGTTTGAGTGCTCTGATTTGGAAGTATTACGTATGTTACAAAAAGGATGGAATGTCAAAGAATATTAATATGTAACGCATTCGGAGACATACTGAAATGAATGAGCTTGATATGGTTACGGACCGAAATGTTTAACGGGTGAGGTGCATTCGTACTTACTGTAACAACATAGTTGATACCAACAAGATTCGCCAGCTTGTCTTCCGCGATAATCGGAGAATAGTGATTTTGTTCTCAAGGATACCTGGGATTATTGTAATTACAAGTTAACTGTAATAGTATAGACTAGACTATAGGGAGGTGTGGTTTATGGATCCAGCTATTCAGGAAGGGGGAACAATGCGAGTTGGGGGTTTTTGGATGTCTGAATCAGGTTGAGAGGATAGCTCCTAGGAAAACAGAGGTCATTTGGATATGTTTCCTGACGAAAGATCCAAAAGACCCGCGTCTCTATAAAATGCTGTCCTTCCTCAAATGACAGAAAAATGGAGCACTTTACGTGTTACAATCTACGGATAGCTCCTTTACATGACGTTATTCAACAATTAGTCTGAATTCATATTATCTATACAGACAACGTAAACTTTATTATTTGTAACAGTATAAGTATTGATATCCGCTATTATATTACCATTAGAATATTCTGTGAACAGATTGGTCAAAACTAGAATTACGTTCAACCCAATCAGTACTTTGATCAAGATAGACTTGCGTCATTTCTAATTTTAGGTACTGATGGATTGACCATCAAAAAGTCAATCTCGTACCATCTTTGTTTATATTTAAATGGCGTATACTTTATGTATACAGTATTTGCGGAACTTCCTGGTCATACAATAAGAAACCGTTTGCTATATAAAGCGATAAAGTTGCAACCATGTCTTGCGGACTGTTGCTCGAGTCCCTTGAGAGCACCATCGTAACTCGAAGTAAATATCTTTTTCTGCAATCACCATTGTTTGCTTGTTAGAAAATTATTAACTGAATTACCCTTACAATCAACAGAACGCCAACGTTTATTATGATAATAAATTATGATAACATAAAATAGCCTGTTGTTAGATAGATTAAAAGCTTGACGTAAGTACTCGTTTTTCTCAACTCGGTCAGTCGTCCGATTCTGCGAGGCTTTGATCTATTTGCTGTTTGTCACACATTTTGTTCTGTTATATCACAGATATCGAGAAATTATGAAAGCTGTATATACAAGTTGATATTTAAATCTATGATGTAAAACTCTATGCACATATCGACGGAATTTCCTTGTTACAAAATTGGCACAGCACAAGAATTCAATTGTTTGGTGTGCTGTGGCGACAATTTTTCGTTAAATTAACTCGGAATAAATTATGACTTTTCGCCTGTTTAAAGACAAGATAATCTTTCTTTTTTCCAATCATGGAGATTAATAATAACCAAAAGTAATAGCTGTAAATGCAAACCATAAACGCATCAATTGTCCAGTTGCTATATACTAATTACTAAAGCTGCCAATTACCGCATTGATTAATTTGAACATTGGCTTGCTAACAGTAATGAGGCAGTAGTTATACGTTGATAGTCAATACAGGTTATCAAAGCAATGGTGATTGATGTTTGTTCGATGGAAAAAGATCCAACGCATCATCCCGAATCCGCGATGTTTGTTACACTGCAATTAATTTAGCCAATCGTAAATATCAAGGAGTAGATTTCAAGGTTTATGATTAATAAGAGATAATTAATTATTTGTAATACACCGCTTATATCGCAACTTACTGTATTCATTGCAATTATTATAGCGATATATCGATCCAGTTTGATGTACCTATCAATTGGTTGTGGCACTGTGCATTCGGAATTACGGTGCTTTGCAACATCAGGTGATTCCGCATGTTGTCAGTCGCGATAAACAGAGTTTGCCATCAAGAGTTCCGCCATAAGTCTGCCAATAAAGAATCATTCTTAGTATGGAAGTTGGTAACAAGAACCAAGAGGGGAAAGAACTATTTCGTGAGATCGAACACTATATTACAGAATCACTAATTCAAAGTGTCTTTATATTATCGAAAGTATTATGGTAATAAGCAATAATGTAATTATAAATTTCATCGAGTTATGGCCGTTAGTACTAAATTAGACGATTGTAAAAAATTCAGAGGCTAAGATCTCGCGTAGCTTGAATAAACACAAACCTGTACCGTAAAGCAAAGCAATTTGAGTTTTTTATTAAAAACTTGACTGGAAAGATTAATAAAGGTTTCAATATTTAACTTGATTAATACTATCCATAGTCAATAAGAATCGATACCCAAAATGCTAAAACAAAATGCCTCATTAGAACAGAAGACTTTATCAGGAAAATTAACTTTTTTGCGGGAGTGGGACGGGACAGTTGTAGTTAGCGAAGCAGACAACTCGGGTAAATGAAAAAAGGGAAGGTGATTGAACATAATGTTAGTGTGATGAGGAGGCTAAGGCAACCTTTTGCAATCCAAATATATCAATAATTAACAAACCGTCAATCGTTATTGAATCCTAGATCTACGTGGGTGGATCAAATAGTTATTGCCGCTTGGCTTTATTCGAAAAACCTCATGATAATTTTAAAACTAACTAAGCTATTTCTTCAAAATAGTCATCTCTTACCTTTATATATTTTTGTAACCTCTTCCGCCAACTTTCAAAAGACTTGTGATATTTCTCTTGTTGGATACTATCAACTGCCTGAAGAGCCCTAAACAGATTTTTAATCCTGTTATTCTTCCTTATTACAAGTGCTTTCTTAATTATAGGTAAATAAAAATAATTATATGACGTTATCTATAGGCTTAGGATAGACGTAGCAATAATTCGACTCGTATTTTGCTTCAAAAAATACCATATTCTTAAATGTGCGATGAGGCGCAGCATTGTCGTATGCAGTAACACATTGCGGACAGTTGCTCTTCCTCTTAATTTTTTTGTACTTCAAAAAACCGAAGGTAGGATGTAATTAGAATAAAGCTCACTTACTCTCGTATCTGTTTTTATTAAGCATATTGAGGAAACTTTTCCAAAAATTGCTTTGCAAAGGCCTTCTGGATCAAGGGTCGTCTTCTAAGTAGTTTCTTCCATCATTGAAATTTTTAACTGGCTGTCAAATTGTGCATAATATTAGTGCATTATGTGTACAAGACTTATTAATATTGCATTAATATTGCTAAAATCTATCGCGTCTTGCCATCGGTATTGTTCACGTGAAATTCGAGCCAGTGGTTACGATGAGCAAACTTTGAACACAAAGATATCTCAACAACCTTGAGCTTTTATTTGATTGGTATAACGTTGTCATAGGTTATCAGTCCGTAAAACGAGAGGCATGCGTCAAGAACATTTTGACCCACCCACGTACCATGAAAACTTCACCATTAGTATAACACAAGGTTTGTGCGCGCACAGGCGACATCTAATCTACCCAGCTTTTCGTATTTTCATTTTGCAACCCACAATCCAACCATGTCTACCATGCCTACCACGCTTACAAGTCTGCCACAAAGAGATCCTATCCACGCCGATACTGAGGAGTCAAACAAGAGATGTGAATATATACAGATCGAGGAATGATGGATACATAAACGAGAGACAAAAAAATACAAACCAAGTTTTCATTTACGAGTTATGGGTAATTTTTTCGTTTTACCATAGCGATCGGCAAGGTCTATATGTAATGATTACGTTATGTTACAATGCATCATCGATAATTAGAATACTTTAATTATACTGTTAGTCCATTATGTGTATTGTCTCCAGTGACGAACATCATTTTTCGGTACTCATCATATTTCAAATTATGATGGTAAGAAGGCGAAAAAGATCAGCATACAAGCTTTGCGAAAGTGATCAAGAACATTATTACCTGTTAGATATAAATGCGCATTTCTTACAATGATTAGATGTACACCGTGTTACGAAAGCACTTTTGACATCTATCAATGCTGTCGACAAAAAAGTCTTCTTAATTCTGTATGAATCAACTGGTGTACTAAAAAAATTGAAAGCTTTTCGCTCAATTATCTTATTCAAGAGCATACCTCTAGCAAGAACAACGATGATTAATTATTAAACCCATTGGTAGTTTAAAAAAATAGATTATAACAGACTTTGTCTTGATTATTTCAATTATATTATAACAGGACGCCTAATTCCAGATACATTAAACACCAATTACCTTCATCCCGGTGGAAAGCTTTCAAACCGCTTGGAGCCAGCCTTGAAAACGACACCAAACTCTTAGAAAATGATGATGTAGACATTGGTAAATAGTTTATATTTAGCACGTGTAGGCATCTGAATAAACAAAGGCTGCTAGCGATTCAGAAATTTTTCATTTAAAACCATACTTTGTTGGCACAATGACCCATTTATCGAAGACCTTTGTGGAATTGTATACAAAAGTTGGGGGTTTTTTTTCAAGTACATCTAAAGTATTGGAGGGAGAAGACAGATACTCGTGTTAGATTTGAGATCATAAAAAGAGAGAAGCCGAGCTAGCAACCGGACAAAAAATTTAATCATTAACTTTGAACGTAGATCTAAATACAATTTACAAGCTTGAATTGACAAAAAACTCTGCCGTTCAACGAAGTCTTCAATGACCAACTTGAAAATTTGGAAACTAGCCTACTGATTAAGATGATTTTTTATACACACCACGTTTGACTTGCCAGATAATTCTAATAATGATAAAGTTTGCTCATATCAATATAGCTTATTGTTTGGACGCTGATTCTAATTACTTTGGTGACAGTCATTGTATCGCGGTTGTTTGACTTGCAATCAAAGGGTTATTATTAGATAAAACAAGCGAAAGCTAAGTATAAGTAATCACAGATAAGAAAGACATACCAATATAATTTGAAGGTAACACTTAAACAATCTCTAATAAATTATCAGGGGCAAATCCAAACATTTTGTAGAGCAGCTTGCGTAAAAATTGATAATAGAGTGCAGTAAATTTATTAAACGGCTTATAGATTATTATAATGTTTTCCAAGTTATCAAGAATTACAACTTTACAGTCGAACAGGGTTGTATGGATGTTTCAAGTCAATTTCCCTTCGATTTTTTGGACGAGTTTAAACAGACAAAGAATCTCAAAAATGAAATAATTCGACTTAACCTATAAATGATCTATATTTTGCAGAAACAGGTCGGACGGTAGGACGACATTTCCAGTCTAGGTATCAATGGACGTCTAACGAATAATATGTGTCACTTTATTGTTTGGTTAACTACCAAATAAAGATATTTATTTTGGTTGGGGAAGGGGGGGCGGAAGCGCGATAAACCTAAATAAAAGTTTCTCCCTTTGTCTTGTAAACTGCTACATTATTTTAAAAACGTGTAGTTGTATAATTGTTAACAGCAGTTTTACGTTACTAGACTTGTAATTTGGATAGTTGCATTTTTTTATGAAAATCTATAACGGAATAATTTTTTCCGACCACCCTTCTATCAAAAAGTAACTATGCACAGTCTTATTACGGAATTAGTTAGATATGTGCGAATACTATTTTTGGTTCACAGTCAATAAACATGGTCTTTGTCATCGTCTTGCTTTGTTGTCGCTTATTTAGAAGTACAAATACTACATTAGGAAAATTGACAATCAACACAAAGAAAATTTTTTTAAGGTTTGGAGTTTGACAATTCACACGCTAAAAAAAACTTGCCGACCAGAAATAGCACTACAAAATAACATTAATTAAATCTATAGCTAATTAAGTTGTGTCAATTGAGTTGGAATAATTGATTGGTATCTCACAACATGTATCTCACTATTGCCACAGCACGTTCCTTAATATGAACGTAGGCTTAAGTTGCATAATATTAATATAAGAACAGAAACCAACTTGAGTAATGAACAAAGAAAACTTGTTATGCATAATTTATAATAATATAGGTTAAACTCATGTAAAGTTGTAGTATAATTTATGCGCATCTTTTATGGAAACCGTGCTGGGGATTAAAGTTTGATGTACATCTGTAAATATTTGCTATATTCCCCTGCTTCAAAGTTTGACATTTTTCTGCCTCTTTTAATAAGTTGGCTTAGGAAGACTCTGCCTGTTAACAATTTAAAATGTATTGGCAAAAATTGATCAATTTGATAAAGATTAAGTATTGGGAATATGATCTACTTGCGCCTGTCTTAACATCTTGTTCGTATCAGCATACTTGTTGATTTAAACCTAAATTTTCTAACAAGATGATGCGGCTGTAACGAATTACAATCACGTTTTGCAAATACCCATAATTCTGCTATTATAAATTGTATTACCATCTTACGTACTGTCGTCAATAGATTGAATAATAAAAGTATATTACAAGTCAGAAGAAAGTCTCTCATAGGTAAAGGCATAACAATAAGCACGCTTCGTTGTCTGTTTATTTATTGGCACTGATTGGATAAATCTATACGTACAACACGGACGTCATTGTTGGGATAAATAAAGTGTGCAATGTGGAATGCCGGAACGTGGATAAAAATTGTTAGACTATCTGCGATTGCTAATAATAGAAGTCATTTAATAATAAGGTTAATTATATTTAGTCTCTTAATTGCGTAACTAATATTATATCATACGGGTCCTGTACGCTTTTTATTTGTATTGTTGTATGCAACATGTGAATGCTGTGTAAAGCGTTGTTGATTATATCATAGCATGTTAGCTTTTGCGTATGTTTATACAATAGGGGTTTGCTGAACTACTAATATAGAACAGGAAGCGCAGGATATGTAAGCAGCAATTAGGGATTCGTATCAAATAACAAAGAACATAATAGATACATACCATGCATTAATGTAAATAAAGGATTGAAAGAATAAAGACTTTGCGTTGTTGGTCGGTAGCACACATTTTCATTTGTTCCAATCAAGTACAAATCAGTAAATGATTGTCGCTAAGTATGACGTCATATAACATTCACATTGTATGAGCAATTCCCACTCTTATCTATCATATACAAACTATCGGCAGTTGCTAACGTTACTCCATAGAAACGTGATCTTTTCAGATGCTAACATCTGGTCGAAATTGATGTGCGTCAGACGTTTTTCTTGTATATATGTACATATTGCACGGTCAATTGAAGAATTGATGTACACCACAGTTACATTTTGCACTACTATACTACTCTATGCAAGTGAAGCAACTGCAGTTGCCATGAGCGATGAATTGTTCATTGAAGCACGAAATCGTCTTGCACAACAACAACAACAACAACACACCCCCCGCCCCGATCAATGCAAGTATCCCCATTTGTTACACAATAATTTTGTATACTCGAAAATGGGGTCAATGGGAAGAACTAATTATAAAGGCCCAAGAAATCGGGAAAGCATAACGAAGATATCAGAAAGAAGCAAATCCCTTTGCAAAATGAAAATACTAAAAGATTAAGGTTAGTCGCTTGAAAACCATTAGACCCTGGGTAATAAGAATAACAACAACAACAACAACAACAACAATAATAATAAAGCCAACTTTTAGACAATTAATCAGTCTTCTCACTAGATGTATGCTTCTGTTCCACAATCAAATATAAACGCCCAAATAAAACAGGCAAATGTTAATAGATGAGATGTTTCGAATTTCGTCGGCACCGACTGTGTGTGAAGTTAATTAAAAAGAAAAAATCTATGTTGTATTGCAAAATCGGGCATTTAGTTTTGTAAATATTCGGGCGATTTTTATATAATATATCTCTGAAAGCTAAATAATCTATTTAACGAATTATGTTATCAGCATAACTAGTGTCCAAGAAAAGCGCACCTGTTTACCATAAACATGAAAACTAAAATATTACTAAATCACTAGTAACGACATGATTGGCTCATCTCAGATCTGGAAACATATTAAATAAAAATTTTTAGTCAAAGACCATGTGTAGTACTCCTTTAATGCTATAGTTATATATACAGTAGCATATGCAATATTCTAAAAATTGAACATAGCTATGTTATTGAACACTTTTTAAAGATCTTTGATGCCCGATTAGCCGCTATGATAAATTTGCATAATTGCAGGATTTGCTTGCTACATTTTCAATAGCAATTATATGTTAAAGTATATACTTTATATTTTAATAGCGCTATGAATATGTTTACGGAACAATTGTCAATACTATATTTAAGATATTATTACCAATATAGTATTGGTCGTCTTGTTATTTTTTATTAAAATGCATGTTTTGTTATGTGTGGGGGCTTACACCAATTTTCTAGGCTAAGTCCAAACATTAGATGCTAAGCGCAGCCGCCTTGCATATTCCGAGAACTGTGTTACCTACCCACAGAACGTATAAAATAAACACCGTCTTTCGATATCATCTCATTCACGTCCAACCTGATATCGAGGCCTCTCCCATCCTATTCAAATCTCGAAAAAAAAAACAAACAAAAAAACAAAACAAAAATAAAAATAAGAACCAAAAAACAACTATTCCCAACTTCCCGTCTACACTTTATAAAAGCGAGCAATCATGCAACCGAGTACATGTCTCCACAAAACCTTGCGCATTACAAGAAGGCGCCGAACTCGGCATATCGGTCAAATAATTGCTAGACGCACCCCGGTGTCTACAATAATCCGAACTTGCTGCTGCCCAAAGGGCAGGCCACAATTAATGCGTCTTCGATCATCAATTTATACCATTTATGATATTTTTTTAACCGAGCTTTTCGTTGACTATAACGGCCAAGGCGGGAAATCCCACAAACGTCTTTTAAAACACGTCTACGTTACGGGGACAACATACGAACATCGAACAACATCTGCTCTTCCTTTTAAATAACCGGCACAATCTTCCGCCCCCGCATAATGCTTAAAGGAAGAGAACGACTTTCTTAGATATAAAAACCTAGGAAAAATCGTTCTTGTTAGAATACCATTTATACGTTAAGTCTTTCTTTTGCATGTGGTGGAAAAATTAAGGTGTATTTTTTAACGCTTGGCAATAATTTGCTGTGTTTTTGGTTTTCATATGTAAAAGATACTCTTTATTTGTACAGTAGACTACTAGTTCTTCAAATACACCGTTTCTCGGCATGAACCTTTTGTTAGAAGAAGCAATGTTTACGTTGTTAAAAAACGGTTGATAAAATATTTTACTTTCTTTGCCACTCCCCTTTTTTCGAAATCAATTTTTGTATGTATGCAACATTATATATTTAAAACTTGGAATTATTATAACTTTATTCGTCATATTTTTCAAATAGTTGTTCTGGCAACAATAGTTAAATATCTTTAAATTTACCAGAGATAAGACTAAAAACTACATAGCCAATACGTCCCCATATCCACACTTGTGCTAAATTTCAAACCATTCCAAGTTCTTGGACATTGCGATTTAAAGATTCTTATAAATATATTATTATTCGGACTTCTGTAAATAAAGATTACTTTCGAATAATCCCTGTTTGTATGCCTCTGTTGTTTCTATTACGTTGTAAAGAGTTCTAAGTTTGCATTTTCGTTTAACTCATACATAAAATATAACTGCGCTGGTTGCAACGGTTTTCGTATAGCCCTACAACTTGGGTTACATCTTGTACAATTTGTGACCCGATATTTATTACACTTTGTAACGACTTGTTGGTGATAACAACCCGTTTCTAATATGACTCTTACCATCAGTATTTGTGAGCTTACATTCAGAGATAGTCTCTCTGATTGGAATATTTATTATTTTGTAAAGAAGACCCAATAATTGCTGATACTATCGCCATTATTGTACCATTATCTCTTCTCTTTTATTTACTTTGCAACTCTCAATCATAGCTATGGCTAGATGCATCTACATGACGTCAATAAAAACAATCGATAAAGAACAATATTATGGACAGTTCAGTAATAAAAACTTGTTAAAAGTCTTCTCCCGCTAACCCAAATTACAAGTTATGTAGTAGTCAATAAGTCAGATGTTATCTCAAGATTAGGCAAGCATTTCGTTACGTTTATTTTAGTCCGATAAAATTGACAATGCTGTAATGAGAGATCAAAACGATTAATCCATAGAAACGTATTAGACAAAGAGGAACGATCAAGTTAGTTTGTGTGATTGTCAATGCCCAAAAAGATGCAATCGAAAACTATGATATTTATTTTAACAAAAAAACTATATTTATAGTTGCGGGAGAGTTTAATAAGAATTGAAAATTTGTTATCAATCTTGGAAGCGCAATTTGTTCGTACAGTGCTATGTTTAAATAGGGAAGAATAATATATTGATGTTTATCTCGAATGCAGAACAGTCCTTGTCTTCATACCCCAGACATGAAGGGGCTGTTTGAAGAACAATCCTTGTCTTCATTCCCTGGATATGATTATCTCACAAGTTACAAAGATCGACGTACCGCTTGAACATAAGGGGCTGTTTGAAATAAACAAACCAATTGCAGGGATTCGGAAAAACTTGTGCAATTTATTCCAGAATACATACATGCAGATTGACACACATTAAACATTGCCCCCAAAAACCAATAGTAGTTTACGCATTCAAGTAAAAGCTTGCTGTTTACGTGGCACATACGGCTCATTATTTTTACTGAGCGAAAAAAGAAAGGTCTAAATATCTAATGTCTAGTCCGAACACTTGCCAAATATTCACCGAATTGTTCTTTATCGAACAATCGCTGGTTCAAGTAACACACGTCGTTGTTTGCTATTGTTACCGGATTGAGATTGTGCCCCCAGTCCAACCAAAAAAATCCTATTTACTCGTATGTTGATGATGAACAAACCTCCTAAAAAAATCTGATTATTCATTGTCTGCAGTAACTCGTGACTAGGTCAGCCATTAAAGACTCGGGATTGATAGTGGCAATTGCGACAGTGTTTTAGTCAATAAATCGTGTGAAAAGGTACGGCTAACAAAAACATATATCAGATCAATGTCTCTACATACTGTCAGAATCCATTTTGACAACTCCCATGTATTCGCTATTGTAAATTCTTATGAAGTAAGTTGGCATGAATGTTGTCGACTATAGTAATAGCCCTGTTTTGCACAAATTTGAAAACAGCCAATCAGAGAATGCGCAAATTGAGGACAAATTTTCGTGTTTCGTTCCGTGTTTTCGATCTGCTGTATGTCGCTAATGAGTTTTCAGAGGAAGAAGACTTCAAATCATCCTTTTTCAGTTTTCCTCTCTCTGCATTAAGAAACACCATCGTGGTACAACACGTGAGTTTTGGAGATGGTAACAAAGCGGAATGAATGGAATGGACCTTGCTTTTTTTTTTGGTCCCATCACATGATTTTGCGGCCACCAATCAGAGAGGGGAAAAATGGGAACGGAACTCATATGCAATAATTGTACCACATGAAGCATACTAACCCGCAAAGAAATCGAAAAAGCTATACATAAACGATTAGATTCTACTAGTCAAAAAATATATACAGTATATATAACAAACATTAACGCCTTGGCTTTCATTTTGAAAAGTCTATTACGTACATACGTTTTATAATATCGTGGCCATTTAAATTATCGATAGAAGTTGGTGCAGGCCGTCCCTGTGCTTTGAATAGGGCATAAGAACTATGGTTGGCGTTGAGGATGAATTTACGTGTAGCTAAAATTGAACAATAATAATAGGAAGATATTTAATTCACGTTTACACGTCAGATTCTTTAAAGCGTATAGCATCAGTAATATAGTAGAACAATAATAGCATAATAATGGTTTACGATTCTCATTGACTCGCAAGAAATTAATGTAAGAGAAATCACTAGTTTGTGAAATTGTCTATTTTCACCGATGAAGATTCTCTATAATGAATAAAACGGCTAGCCCATTTTCTTCTTTATTAGATCCATTCATACTTTATATTTTTGCAATACCAATACTTTATAGACGCAATAATTAATTTCATTAATTAATAAGCATTAAGCAATCAGTAAATGTCAAGAACGTGTGAGCAATCCTTTCTGCAGCACAACAGTCACCTCTTACATTTGAATGAAAAGAATAAAGCAACATTTATACTTGTAGATAATTCAGTTTATAACGAGAGGGTCGGGATGTGGCCTTCGTGTTAAGTTGGATCAATATTTAATGAGACGTGTTATTATACGATAAAAAGGTCGTTATTCCCATGCATAATAAACCGACACAATCACTTTGTTTAGTATTAGTCATCTTCCAAAATAGAATTCGTGTGTGGATGTGGGACTTGAGATTGCAATCGAAAAGATGCTGGGAGATGTCATTTTAATTTACCATTAATGGTTATATATCCACCATATGTCAGGACTGAGTACCTGACTGGTGACCTTCACAAGCTGTGGCTACAATGTGCTTTCAATTCAAATGGTCAATGTATCCTATTCACCATGCCCGGAATCAACTCTCTGGCAGCTGTTTCAGTAATGGATAATCATTATAATTATCAAACCCAATTGATACTTAGTGGTTGGATATCTACACTAAATGATCATTTGACTAACAACTTGCAATTCATGGCCATTTTCATTCTCAGCAGTGTAACTTTGGATACATAACCATTCAACAAGATACTCAATGAAAACTCACCTCACCTACACCCTCCACTCTACATCATATAATAATAAGAAGGACCTGTGCCCTGATTGATTGGTGGTTGAGTTATATCATCAACATAAGGACTTTCCTGTTGATATTGAGCAAGTGGTAGCAACATAATGAAAGCATAGATTGAAACAAGGAGGTTTGTGAGTCAATGACATTAAAAGAAGGTGAAATGTATAGTGGGTCAGGTTTATCAGGAGGCCTCCAGAGAAACCATGTCTGATTGTACAGAAAAGTTTTGCATGTGGCTCTCTAATTAGAGATTGACTAAAAATGGGAATAATCATCAAATGCATATGTTTTCATGTAAGAAACGAAAAAAAAAAGTGGATGGAAATTCATTATCTCATTGTCAAGAACCCTTTTTTTTTTGTAAACCATAGTAAAATGACTGGAAGAAAATGAGCCATGAAAACCAACAATACTCTTGGAAAAATCAGAAATATGACTCAAATCCACAAGGAGTTGGTGATGTAGAAGGGGAACAAGCATTGTCTATCAGCACAATTAGATGCTGGATTGCTATATTCAAAGATGGAGAAGAAGAAATTAAAGACAAGGCTTGTTTTGGACATCCTTGCAAAGCTGTGACATCAGGGAAAAATTGCCAAGGTTGAGGATATTGTTAGCAATAACCCACACATTTTTATTAGAAAATTAGCTAATGGAATCAGCATTTCCCATGAAAAAATTTCTTAGATTTTACACAATGAGCTGAGCCTCCAGAAAAAGGGAAGAACAATAGCAATTGTTCATGATGTCATAGTTCATTAATATTAATATACCACTACAAAAACATCTGAATAGCAGTTGCTTTTTGTTCTTAACATTTTCTGTGACAAAATATAATCACTTGGCAGTTTCATTTACTTACATTGTTATTTGACTAAAGTTAAATCACCATACTAGTCAAAATTTATAGTGAACTAGAGGTGTATGTGATGCGCCGCAATCGATGACGTATTCTCTCCTTATTTCTGCGTTCCTACAGCGGTGCCGCAGTCCAAATCAATCGGCGGTAACACCAGCGCAGCTGCGGATTTCAGTGTGGGTAGTACGGACCCTG